CTTCTGTTTTAAAAAATATCTTTTTATATGAATTTCCTTGTTAGATTTCATAAAAGTCCTATAAGGTTCATAATGTTATAAAATGTGACAGATAATAGAAACCTTGAGATCATATAACTCTTTAGGAAAAAAAAAACTTCTTGAATCCATACAATTTCCAGTAAACAATGCCATTTTCTATATATATCTTTCTTACCTATATGTTTGCCTATGTCTAAGAATAATGTAGCTTGATGTATACAGTATTTTGAAAATCTCCTCATTACTAACTTTCTGAATTCCAATTATTTTTATCTAATATGTAACATTTTTGCATGAACACTGACACAAAATAATAAAGGACAAGTGGTTTGCCTTGAGAGTACTATTTTGTTTTCTCTTTCACCCACCCATCCCCAGGTGCAGTATGTTCCAACATATATTTGGGTAGCATTTAGCACAGATTAAAAGCATAATTTTTATTGTGAGGTCCTCAAAGACAAACCACAGACTGGAAGTTTGTACTTGTAACACATATATCTGATGAAGGAGTTATATCTATAATGTAGCAAGAACTCTTGAAACTCAAAAGTAACAAAACAACTTAATTACAAAATGGACAAAAGATGTGAACAAACACCTCACCAAAGAATTTGTACAGGTATCAAATATGCATATTAAAATATATTCAATATCACATGTCATTAAGAAATAAGACAAGAGATGCCACAAAACATCAATTAGAGTGGCTGAAACCCAAAACACTGACAATACCAAATGCTGGAAAGAATGTGGAGTGACAGCAACTCTTATTCATTGCTGCGGGGGATACAAAATGATACAACCACTTTAAAAGACATGCTGGCAGTTTCTTATAAAGCTAACTATATGCTTACCATTCATTTCCACAATTATGCTCATAGCTGTTTACCAAATAAATTTAAAATTATATTCATATGAAAAACTGCACACAAATACTTATAGCAACAACCAAGGTTTCCTTCAATAGGAAGGACAAACAAAATATGCTATATCCATGCGACTAGGTATTTTTCAACAATTACAAAAATTAATGAGCTGTTAAGCTGTGAAAGAACATGGAGGAAGTTTAAATGCAAATTGTTAAGTGAGAGAAGCCAGTCTGAAAACATTACATACTATATAATTCCAACTAATGATATTATGGGAAAAGCAAAACTATGAAGATGATAAAATCATCAGTGATCTTCAGGGCTTGGAGGGGCAAAGGAGGGATGAAGAGTTGGTACACAGAATATTTTAGGTCACCAAAACTATTCTGTGTAGTATTGTCATGGTGGATACATTATGCATTTGTCATAACTCATAGAACAGTAAAACACAAACTGTGAAACCTAAAATAACCTAGTGAAATTAGTTAATAATAATATATTAATATTGGTTCTTCAACTATAAAAAGTGTATTACACTATGAAAGGTGTTAAATAATAATAAAAGAAACTGGTGTTGGGGATGTGCAAGGGATTATTAGGAAAATCTGTACTTTATGCTTAATTTTTCTGTAAATTAAAACTGCTCTAAGCACGTTATTAATGTTAAAAATGAACCGAAAAGAAGTAACACCTCAAATGGAGACTAAACTGAATTGGAATGCTTTTTGTCAAAAAATATAAAAAATATGAAGGTAATATAATACAATTTTTTTCTGTTCAGTATTTTTAATAACTAAATGCAACTGGAATAAATATTCTATCTTGTATCTGTGTATTTTTATTAATGTGTGTGTTTTTTAAATTTTAAATATATTTTAAATTGTAATATAGTTTACCAAATGATATCTATTATCTAGTATAATACAAGTATTAATTCAGTGTTATTTTCATTGTGATATGTTTAGCAAAAACCGTATAAAACACCTTAGCAAATAACAAAGATTTTATTTTTAAAACTGCTTCATGTATAGATAATAAAATTATAAGTAGCATAATAACTGAAATTTGTACTCCCTTCAAAATTTTTAACTTAAGTGAGCAATTTTCCTATTTTCAGTGATACTCGCCCCCCAACCTTTTTGTCTCTTTCTACATTCTTTGTTTTTGTTATGATTTTGGTGGGTGGGTGCTTATTTTACACCTTTTATTTTGGAAAGATTTTACCAGACGTTTAAAAAAGTAAAAAGTTTGGTATATTCATCACTCAATTTACCTTAATTTTACATATTGCATAACCATAGAAGATTTACCATACTCAGAATTAACATTGATACAATACTGTTAATTAAACCACAGATGTTATATTTATTTCAGCAGATTTTCCAAGTAACATTCTTTTTTGGTTCCAGAAAACAATCTTGGATAGCACATAGAATGTTCCAGTAGTGTCCCCGTGTAGGCTTTTCTGATCTGTCACAGTCTCAATTTTTCTCGATTTTTTATCTTGTTGCCACTTTTGAATAGTATTGGTCTCGTATTGTGTAGAATGTCCCTCAATTTGTCCTTGATGTGTTCTTATAGTTGAAGTGAGATAATGAGGTTTGAAGGAATATTACAGGAGTGAAGCATTCTTCTCATTTCATGATATAATGGGTACATGAATGGCAACATGACTTTTCATGGTGATGATAGACTTGGTCAAGTGGTTAAGATGCTATCTGCTTTCTGGATTTCTCCTCTATAAAGTGTCTATTTTTCCCTTTTCCTTCATTATTTTTGGCAAATGTGTCACTAATTGAAGCCCACATTCAGGAGATAGTATATCCATAAATTACTTGGAAGTCTTGTGTAAGGAAGACTTGCTCTTGATTCTTTTTTGTTTATTAATTTATTTATTATGTATTCAATCATTTATTTATAATGGTATGAACTCCAAGGTATATTGTTTTTTGAATTTGAACCCATTATTATTAGTACTTGTTTTGTTGCTTGAATTATTCAAAATTTGGCTATGAGAGCTCTTTCAGATTGGCTTCTGAATTATTTTGGCTATTTCTTTTTCTTTTTCTTTGTTTTCTCTTTTTTTTTTTTTTTTTTTTTTTTTTTTTTTTGAGACAGAATCTTGCTGTGTCATCCAGGCTGGAGTGCAGTGGCGCGATCTCAGCTCTCAGCAACCTCCACCTCCTGAGTTCAAGCGATTCTTCTGCCTCAGCCTCCCAAGTAGCTGGGACTACAGGCGCCCACCACCACATCCAGCTGATTTTTGTAGTTTTAGTAGAGACAGGGTTTCACTATGTTGACCAGGTTGGTCTTGAACTCCTGACCTTGTGATGTGCCCACCTCAGCCGCCCAAAGTGCTGGGATTACAGGCATGACCCACCGCACCTGGCTAACTATTCCTTTTTTTAAATAAGAAATATATCTGGAGAAACATTATGTAAATAGTGTTTGGATCATTTCAATACAATGCAATAACTTAGCACTACATCATTCTGCCTACACATTCAAATTATACATTTTGCTCATTAATTTATTTAATACAATTTATGGATCATCTACTCTATGTTAGATACTGTTCTAAATGCTTTAACTAGGTTAGGGGATATGGCCAGAGATGTCATAGGGAGCTGGGTGATGCAGAACATTGCAAACCTTTGCAAAAATCTTTGTGGTTTTTTTGGTTGTTTTTTGTTTTTTAACATAAAATAGAAAGCCCCTGCAATGTGTTGAGCAGATTAAGTTACCCACTTAATATAGAGTCAGGTCATTCCAGCTAGTGTGTTAAAAATAGACTATTGATTGACTAGTGTTGGGGTAGGAAGAGCAGTTTGGATATGCAATACAGGTGAGATTTATGCTTGGACTGTAACTGTGAACACACAGTGTAGTGGATCTCTGATGGATTAGATGTGAGGTGTGGGAGAAATGGAGAATTTAAAGATGATTCTAGGTTTGAAGTGCTGAACAACTAGATGATAAAGTTGCACACTGTGTGCCCACAAAGTATGTAAAAACATGCACATATCCCTATTGTTTATATTTTTGAAAATATAAAATATTGAGTGTAATGTAATATAAAATATTAAGTGTGAACACAATAACTGAAGAGTGTAAAGTGAATCTCTAGGGCATAATGTGTAATAAAATTATAAATGAATACATTATTTTAGTTGTTTTTAAAAGTAAAGATTAGCCTCAGATAGATAACAGGTTTCCTCCTCTATGTATTTTGTGTCATTTTATTTTTATGTTTTCATTGAAAATTACATTTAAGAATATTTTCCTTTAAAATCATTTTGAATCAGTGATAATGTATTTTGGATTTCTTTTCATTTGTTTCTTTATCAGATTTACATATCTCAGAGCACTAGGAGGTTTTCTAAAAGCTCTTTTGTCAGGATGTTTTCCAGATCTCATTTTTCATTCTGAGGCTATCTGTATTTTCCATAACATAGGGTTGTGGAAAATGTGGTACTTACTATAGATTTTGTATATCAGTTCAATAGATTTCCAAAGATATACAATGTTAAAATAATGCTTGCTTCTTTTTCCCCAGGTTACAAAAAGTTTCTCTACAAATTCTAATCTCATAGTTTGCTATCTTTCCAATCTTTATACGAAGTGAAGAATTCATCATTTTATATTGTGTAAGTTATTTTAAGTTAGTTGGGATTATAATTAGTACTGATAAAAATATTTTTTCATTTTAGAATGCTTTAAATGCACATGCACATATAGCATATTTATATATAAAACATATGTAAACATATATATGCCACTTCTCTTGTCCTTAGGTAGCATTTTTTAAATGTTATGTAGTAATGTACTAGGACTTTTAAAAATTTAACTTTAAGAGAGCACTTTGCTAATGTTAAATACATCTCAATGTAAATGTGTGTGTGTGTTTGAAGATTAGTGCATCCAGAACTCAGAGATAATGAAAATGCTCTGTCTATTCTTGCTTTGGAATTTCAGATAAGAGTAGTCATATTACAAAGCAGAGATAAAAGGAGAAAGCAAGAAATAATTCAATTGCTGGTAAAGTAATACGCTACACAGCAAATCACAATAGCGTGTTATATATAGAAATAAGATCAGTCATTGTTTTCAAGCCTGCTAAATAAAACTGAACTCTTGGAATGGCATACCATTTGACCTTTTGAAGGTTCTCCAGCAGTATTTAACTGGTGCAAAAGGAGCACACTCGCAATTGTCCACTTTTGACATGACAGACCCTCCTGTTAGTTCACACAATGTTCAAAAGGCAGAAGTCCCTCGCTTCAGAACGCAAGAGAGGATTATTTTCCCAAAGAGCTACACGGTTCATACTGAGGGATGATATGAGAAATTTTCACTTTTTGTCAAAACTTGTACTCTCAGCGGGCCCTCTAAAACCAACACCAGCAGTCAAACATTCAAAAACAACTCACTTTGAGATTGAAATACTTGATGCTCAAACAAGGAAACAGATATGTATTCTGGATAAGGTGAGTTTATTTTTTTATTTATTTGCTTATTTAAGTGTTTCTTCTCTGCCTCAAATATTATTGATTGCTTGATTAAATTCTAACACAACTGTTCTAAAATACATTTCTGACTTTTACCTTAAGTCAGAGCATGCATGGTGAAGAGCATGCATACTTTATGCATTGTTTTAATAGAAGATGTTCAATGCATCTCTCATACTCAATTTAAATTAACTGAATGGTAGATAATAATGAGGTTCTGTCATTGGTCTGTGAATTTTATGCTGCCATTGACCATTGTCCACAGGTAAAATTACAAATGCTCAACCTATTTTCTTACACGGAAAATATCTCCAGGTTTTTGTCTTCGTGTACTTCGTTGTATATACAAATTATCATAGAGTTTAATTAGTGTCTATAGAAAATAGTACGCAAAAGCCACAGTAGTTGTTAGAAATACTATGTAATATGTCTGAAAAATTTCATCATTTAAGCATTAATTTGAATTGATTTTATTACTTTTCTTAAAAAGTGACTACCTTTTTGTGAAAGTTTACTTGCTTCAAAAACAGTATTTAAGTTCTTGAAAATTATGTTTTGAAATGTTACTCATCCAAATCCACATTCACAGATGTTGCACTAAGGAAGGAGAAAATATACTCTTCTTAGGTTAGAAAGCTAAATTATAAATATATGTTTATATTTTAGATAAACATATGCATAAATAGTATTCCAAGCATTTTCAGTTTCTAATAAATTTGAAAAGTATTATTAATTTAACTTAATATGAGAAAGACGTATTTATACAGGTAATAAAATAGAGCTTGATCTTGTTTTACAAAAAATGTTGAATACATTTTTGTTGCTGTGTCCTAAAAATAAAATGCAATCACGCATTCCATTTTTCCATGTTTATCTAGGTCTTTAGAAGAAAGGAAAAAAACTGTTTAGTCTTTTCCTTAATAATTGACAAATACACAATATATAATTTCTTATTCAGTAATTATAACACTATGAGCAGCTTATAAATTGAGTTATATTAACTCTAATTTATAGATGGAAAAGAAAGATTAAGACCTTTTATAAGTGCATACAGGTCGTTAATAGAACTTAAAAGATGTAAAACCATTTCTGTACAGTTTTAAATCATATGCTTTTTCTATAGTTCTACTGAGGCCATATATAAGCGATGAATATATATCACAGAAAATAGAATTTTGATATATTAGTTTCAAGACTTGTATAATTTACTTTTCTTTTTGTATCAAAGTGAAGTTTTGGGATTTTTAAATATCATACAAAATATTTAATATTTAAATATCATATTAAGTATTTAATATTTAAATATCATAAGAAAAATTAAAAAAATAAAATTACCCTTCAGAAGTTGCTAATGTTTACAATATTCCATTATGAAAAACACAAATCTTACAAGAAAAACACAGTTAAATCCAAGGACACAGTGCAACAAATGGAATGAAAATCAAATAAGTCAAGGATTTCCAAGGACTACAATTCTAAAATGACACTAGTTATTGTGTCCTTTCTGACATGTGTATAAACCCTGGCAGGCAATCCACCTTAAAGTAATGAAAAACTAATGATGTTTAAACGTTCTTTTACTTAATTACACACACACACACAAACACACACATGCCAATGAGTTCCTATTTGCCTCATACATTTAAATTTTTTCTTATTGGTATTTTATTTGAAGGTAACACAGGGATTTTTACATTTTTAGGTGTTAATTAAATTGTGAAAAAAAGTAAACATTTAGAAGAAATGAAATTTAAATATTCATTATTTAGAGATGAGAATTTTGCAATTTTGCATCGGAATCTAATGTTCGAACTATGATAGTCCTGACATTTGCATCTCAAGTGGCATATCTTTGTAGAAACTTAGCAGGCTAACTAGAGGATTAACACTGGATTGTTCCTAATCCTTTATTGCACAATCAGCCCTATATAATGTGCAATTAGTTGCATTCAAATCTTTGACGTCTGAGTAGAACTGCATCTTGTTGTGTCTTGTTTTAGTTTGTAAATTGATAAACTGTTTCATAAGAGTGGTGAGACACTTGAGAGAAAAAAGTTTTCTAGGTTAATTTTTTGTTTTTGCTTAGTGATTTCTAACATTTTGAATTTGTAAACATAAAAAAGACTGATTTATTTTTACATTTTTATTATTCCTGATGTTATTTTTCTTAGACAAATTAACAACTTTATAGTAAGATCATATTAAGTACGCTTCATTGTACCTGGCTCTACCCAGTGTACAAAAGACATGTCACTTATAACTTAGTGCCTGTCTTTCAATACTTACTATGCAGTAAAGTGGTACAAATCACATATCATGTACTTTGGAATTAAGCATATCTGGACTCAATTCCTGTTACATCATTTGTATCTATCAAGGATTAAGAAAGTCACTGAATTGCTGATGCCAAAGACCCCTATTTAGAATATGGGTTAATAAAATCACATCAATAAAGTTAATAAATTTCACTTTGGAAACTTAGAGTAAGGATAATACATGTAACATGCTTAGAATAGTGCCTTGACCATAATATGGACAAAATTATTATTATCATCTTATTTTTAATAATCATTCGGAGAAAGTAATATACATAAAAAAATAAAAATAATAAATTCTGAGCCTTTTGATAACTGGCTCAGAATTTAAATTTGACTTCTTAATATTTAATTATTCTTTGACATGATTTGTTATAATGCTTAGGATAGATATAATATTTTTCAAATATCTTAAATGAGATGTATTATCTTAGTAATATATGTTCTAACAGAAACTTTGTTTTAGGTTTATTACTCAAACTTTAAAATGGACAAAGTATAGACTCACAATATGCATGAGATAAAAATTTTTAGAAAAGTCCTCGGATGAAAGAAAATATATTTCATGTTCTTTTACATAATTACACACACACACACGCCAAACAAACAAAAAACTTTCTCTTACCTCTGCTGTTTTCTCTAGTTTTTGCCCATTTCTCTCATTACTTTCCTCAGGTATTCATATTATCAGCTTTCATTTGCCTCTTCTCACTGTATCCTAGTCCCAATTCATTTGGGCACTCGCTTCTATCAGTTCCCAGATTCTGAACTTACTGAGGTCACCAGTGAAGCATGGCAAATACTGTACTAAATGCGGAGGTCTATTCTCATGTCTTATCTTACTGTGTATATCAACAACATTTTCCACTGTTAATCACCTCCTCCTTAACTAGCATTTGTTATTTGAGTTCCAGGAGAATATATACGTTTTTTAACCAACTTCATTGGCTTTTCCCTTTCCTTATTGCTGATTCTTCATCTGACTTATTAGGAATGGATTTTCAATAACTGAGTCATCACAACTTCTCCTCCTCTACAATAATTTACTTTATTGAGTTTCATAATTAAAAAAAAATCTTCCTAGTGGTTTTATATATTGTCACCTATTATTTTGCTTTGACTGTAAATCTACATATCTATATATCGATTGAATCTATTGAACTATCTGGATGTTTACCAGGCATATCAAACTTAATATCTCTGAAACTGACCATTTGGTCTTCTCCCAAACATCTTCCAGAGAGCTACTTAAGCCAATAAGTGATGACTACATCCTTCAAATAGCTCAGGCCAAACACTTGGAGAAACCATGACTTGTCTTTTAATCTCATACCCCACATACAATCCATCTTCTTGTCAATAGCTTCAAAATATATCACCCCTTCTACTTGTAGCGCTTCTGAATCTTCCCCCTACTTGTGTCTTTATCACTTTCAATATATCCGCTACATAATAACAAGAACTAGTCTGTTAAATCCTGGCACATAATATCATTCGCTCCTCAAAACTAGTCAATGCTTTTCTTTAGGTCTTAACTGTTAACATTTCTTGGAGGCTTTTCCTGACTACTAAGAGAGCAAAGCTAGCCAACATTTTTTTTATTATGTTTCCTTGTTTTATTTCTTAACTAGACTTATTGCCAACTAAACTACTATTTATTTTTTCTTTCTTCATTTAGTTCATTATTTGGCCTACTCTTAGTATATAAGCACAAAAATATCAGATTGTTTGTTTTACACACTTGTATCTTCTGTGTTAACAGCAATGTTTAACACAAAGAAAGTGTTTAACCAATATGTGTTGAATAAATGCACTCCTGTTCAAGAAGTATGTGAATTTCACACAGCATTCATGTTCAGTAGTGATAGTTTTGAGGTGGAGGAGTATAATATTTGAAAATAAATTTTATTATTTTCTACATCAAATCAAATTATTATTAGAATATTTGTTCATACATTCACAGAAAAAGACATTCTCTCAAACCATTTTACTAAATACTCAAATTCCCCCCAGCTTATCCTGAAAACAAATACATGTAATTTAACTTTGTGTTAGTGCATAATTCAATAATAGACAGTCATGTTCTGATAACAATTTTAATGTGATTTTCATAAAGCAGATGGGAATATTTATTTAGCTCATTTAGTTAGTTTCCATGAATGACTAAAATAACTAATCATGGATAACAAAATGGAGACCAGATTTAAAATAATTGTTAAATACCATTTTTCAAGTATTTGTTGGAACATTAAAAATATGAGATTGTAGGAAAAATAAATTTTAAAAATATAACAATGAATCATTTCCAGTTGTTGCCTGCTGTTGTCTCATTTCTTTCTTGTAAAATGTCACAAGCTTATCTACTGATAAGTCAATGACTGATTCAAGAGCATGCAAGAATTCTAAGAGCCTGAGATGAGAAATGGTAAATGTTTCCAATATCATCTCATTCTAATTTCTTCAATCTTTTCTCCAAGTAACCTGACCTCAAGAGCTCTCTTTCTCCTATTGTTTGTTTGTTTGTTTGCTAGTTTGTTTTGGTCAAAACTATCAAAAGCTTTTTAAATCTTTCTTATGAAGAAAATAAAGCATTCAATAATTCTCTAATGCTTCTAATAATAAAAATAACAATTATCCTCAGAAAACAGTAGAAACAATTATAGG